ACTTCATAAAAACGTACACTACTTTACGAAATAATATATTATTATGTATGCACGAAACTCATGTATGTGTAAACGTTAAAAACTGATTCAAAATATTCCTATTTCCTGACTCTCTACAAATATATTTGTGGCATGAATGCCATATTTTGTACCCACCCAACTATATGGCTGGCACCACGAGGCTGGCACAAAATGTAAAAAGATCCAAACAAAACGTTCACGTGATCGGAGCTGTGATGTAGCTGAATGGTTGTTAGACGCCGATGCTCAGGGATAATTTTTAGAGGACCCTCATTGGGGGTCCTCGCACATAGAAAGGCCCGAAAAATGTATTTCGATCCTGGCCCGGTCACGTTCGCTCGCGTATAGCTGTTTACATATATTTTGCGCAAGTGCTCGTTGAACGAAATATTATAGTGGTTCCTATTGTAATTTTGTGTGATAAGAGTTATTACCAAACAATTGTAATCTTTACTATTTAGCTGGTACTGTGTTTTTGTTTACACGTTGGAGATAAAATTACGCGGCAAATGAATATACATAATTAAAAGCAACGTAGAATGATCACGTGTTCAAGTGTTTTATGCATGGTTCAACTCTGATTCTGATGTAATTAAAATAGCAAACACAGCTTTATTTGAGATCTTTCAGATATAAATTTGTTTGCATTTACGTAGAATTTGTGTTGCTATATATAACAGAAACTCTAACGAAAACATTCATTTCGGGTTGCAGTATTATTTCGTATTTTCTTGTCGTGTGAAAGTTGATTTTAATACACAAGCGCGCTTATTCAACAACTTATTTTTCTTATCCACGATCTCTATGTAGATTGAAAAGTTGTGAGTCGAAGTGTTGACGGCACTTTTGTGTAGGATCACAAATTTTTCGAGTTGATGCAGGCAGCCAATAGGGAATGCACGTGGGGATTCACAATTGGCGTGGCGTAAAGTTTCTGAGTAAGTCCGATTTCATATGCGCAATATAAGCAAAGTATTATTTTATTTTTTTGAATTAAATTTCCCGCTACAATAACAAGTACTATCTAATATAAGCAATAATATTCTCACAATGAATCGATGCAAAATGATTGCACGTTTTGTTGCACAGGAATATAATGCCTATTTTAAAATCAGTTGTTATTTAAATACGATATAGTTATGTGTTTGTTGTATCGAGTTGATCATTTAACGCAATCTAATACGAACTTGACAATTTTAAGTTGTTATGAAAAAATAGAAGAAGTTTTAACAATCAAGAAGAAAGTATAGGGTTTTATACTTTCTTGCTCCGCAGCGCGTTAGGCTAAGTTCACAGTGGAGCCATTTTTCAGTCGGTGTGAAGTCGGCTGAAAGCGCACAATGGTTAGCGAAGCATGACCCGTGTAACTTCGACCGAATTCGTCGGTGGACGGTGGTCACAGTGGCCCGATTTGTTGACCTAATCTAGATCTTTCTCAAGGGTTTTGAGTAAAACTAGAAAACAAGAAAAGACAAAAATGAACTGACGCCGACATCGAACCATAGCCGCATACAAACCAAATCATTTCGTTTTCCCTCCGATCAACTTTACGTTTATATGTTTTTATAACAAATTTTATTATATACATTTCATTTTATTAACAATCCTTTTTTGTTGCGAATCAAAGTGAGAAACTGGAGGTACTTTCCTCCTCCTCAAAGGGCCTAACCGAATCAGATGGTTAAAATTGCCGTTAGTGGTTTTTGAATTACTATTGTACCGTCCAATAGCTGACCAAGAAATACATACATACGTATGTATACATGGTGTTCCACAATTATTTTAACAGCCGAAAATGAGGGGTAGCTGATGTCATTTGAAGTAACTTTTTCCTTTGCGAAAATGCAATCTGCAGCTTTGTTTACGAGTTATTAACGAAAAACACTGGCCAATGAGAGGTGACGGTGCGAGAGAGAGAGAGAGAGAGAGAGAGAGAGAGAGAGAGAGTCCTCAGCACGAGGCTTTGACAGAAGGTCGGGACCGACTCGAGCCGCGTTCGAAGTATTGAACAAGTCACGAAGCGAGAACCTTCTGGATTTTTTTACTACATAACAGTGATATTTTTAAGAAAAACGCTGTTCACCTTTACTTTAGAACGTCTGAAGAATATTTACTAATTTTTCGGACCCGAAATAATATGTAGTTTAACCGTGACAGCCGTTTTAATTTTCTGATGTGCATGACACCTCGTGTGTACCATATGAAATTTTTATGCAGACCATATATACAGTCATGCCTCGCCATAGTAAGCCAAGGCAGAGGCAACTGGTTTAAAATTATGAAGCAGGTAGAGAAATTGCATCTTCTCTGATGGGTTAACGCTTCATAGCTAAATAGCGGCTAAACAGTAGCGAGTAAACACGACATCAGTACAATCGCAAGCGAAACAAGTCACACTGACGACCAATGTAGCTCGTCTCACTTTACCATTCGTGCGGTCTCACTCAATACCTGGCGTTCCATCTGAAACACTTAGCGTGATATTCGATTTATACTTTTTACCCCGTAGGATTCTTGACCACACAGTCCAGCGTATTTGCGAACGTCTTGAAAAGACGAACACAGAAGGCTGTTATTGCTTCCATGGTTATGTCACTCTGCGTAGTTCTTGGCTAGTGCCTTGGCTATCTTGCGCCTTTGCGATGACGGTGGAGTAACTCAACCGAGAAGACCCTCATCACCACCCCCGTCCTGTGTAGAACGATACTGCGCCTTTCGTGGTATCACCATCCCCATTTTGCGTACTTCGTGGCCCGAGATTTGGGATTGCGAATCACCCGGCCTAGTGCCTAGCCTCTGCTCCAGACAGAGTTCGAAATTATTCGAATTGTTCCAAATAAATATTTCACTAATATAATTGTCTGAATAAATTCTTGTCTGTCGAATATTTTATTCGGGTAATGATTATTCACTATCCCACTATCCCATTCCTATTTATTCGAACAACCTATATACTCGGTCATTGTACATTCGAATCATAAAACAAATATTTGTTAACTGTTTTCGTTTTTACATAGTTTTACGGAGATATATTTATACAAAGATATTGAAGATCAGTTCAATTAGAGCATACAGAGTCACAACCGAGAGACCCTTTGAAGCATTTGTAATCAAATCGATGACTTTCATTTTTAAGTCATATGATTTATCACGCAGAGTTATCAACATAAGGTTTGCTTTAAATTAATTAACGATTGTCGCTTGAGTTACAAACAATATTGTTGATGTATTTTACAAAATATAATGTCCAGGGAATCATTGCTGCAATCCGCGCAGGAAAATTTCAAATTGGCCCGTAACGACACGAACACTGCTTTAACGGAGGAATGAGTGAAATTATTGCATTATCAAGTCTCTGGTAGAAATGCTTCACGAATCGGTCAAGATATTATTGTTACAAAACGAATTGAAATTAGGGAACAAACTAAGGTCGGAGAACCGGATACAAATTTTTCCGAATGTGCATACGATTGACATAAATCCCACAAGTATTGGAATTGGAAAAATTATCCAAGAGTAAAAAATCTCTCATCAGTTACGAGTTCTTTAAACTCTAAATAAATAAATTTTTCGCGGAACCAAGCATTTTCTTGAGGTAGTACCGTTGTTTTCCTTATTGCAGCCGTTTATGGATGAGTATTTAAAATATAATAAAGATAGGGAAGCAAAGAAATATTTACCCAAAGTGAAGGATGAACTGAGAGTGAAATATCTCGTCAAATTGAAGTAAGCATTACAGTGACAGCAACAAGTTTGTAATCTTATAGAATGTTGGAGGAAGCAGTTCTCAAATGGCGGTTGAACAGAAAAATATTTTCACGTTAATGTTCATATTGGCGCAATGTGAACCGTCCGATAGATTACTGATTAACAAAATTAATGAGTACACGACTAGCCTTAAAAATTAATTTAAAGTTCTTATATTTACCTTTCCTTTCCTCCTATAGATTTCGAACTATAAATTCTAAACTAAATAAATTTTTATTTTCGAATTTCGAAAATAAGTAAAGAGAGAGAGAGAGAGAGAGAGAGAGAGAGAGAGAGAGAGAAAACAATACTGAAGAAAATACAAATTATTATCCGGGTCTAACTTTATAACCGTATAAAGATATATAACACATGCAGTATGTATAATATAATAATAACGAGACAATGCAATGGAATATATTAACATGTAAGTAGTTAAAAATGTATTAACAAGTAAATAGGCTCAATTTTTTTACAAGTATCGTAAATATTTCGTTATGGCAATGTATAAAATATGATAACAGTAGTTGCCGATCATTCGATTAGGTAGTATATTTATTTAATATTACCTAAAACTTATTTCTTGGCAGATTGCATAAAATCTTTATGTCTTTCGACTAGGTCCGCGACTATTAATCGTTCGATTTCCTCACCCATACTCAACTGTTCGCTCGTAAGCGATATAACATAGTCTTTTTCGTGACTAACGATTGTTACTTCTTGCTTTCGAGTTTGCAACATATTAGCAATGACCAACTGCGTGAAAAATGCTATTAATTAATTAACTCTCGTCGAATAAACTATTGAAATTACTTACATTATGTTTATACTTGTTAAGCGCATCCCTCGCTTTAACGATTAAGAGATCCTCGTCGGTTTCCAACTTAAATGAGACAACGTATGCTTCAGGAACCCAAAGGTTCACTAAAGGAGCTAATATTTTAGGTACTAGCTGAAGCGATATCCTTGGTGGTTCGTTCGAAGAAATCTTGTGAACTGACTGAAAATAATGATTACATGATCACTACAAACTTTGGTAAACATTATCTTGAATGGACGTACCAACTCATTGGATGGAATGTAAAAGTCTGAAACTGCAGCTGCAAGGTACAATATGGCTCTGTTCTTGAGACAAGCTAGCATCGCACATGTAGATCGCAGCAGCCAAAGATACTCAGAAATTGTTGTAAATGTAAGTTGTAACAATTTCTCCTCACTCAATGCTTCTTCATATTTTTGTAATATTCCTGCTAACTTCTCTGCATACTGTGGCAATACTAAGAATACATATAGAGATTCATGATCAAACCATGTGTTATCACTCGATTAACAGATATGCATATGATAACAATGTTACATGATGTTTTGTTACTTTAACTAAACAACTTATACCTGTAACATTGGATTTTCCATCTTGTTGATCGATTTTTAACATGTCTAGAAACTTTTGTCCTATAAAATGTCTTGAAAATGGTTCCAGAGATTTAACCCTGTTGACAAATTGATGAAATTAAGATTACAGGACAATTTTGTGGTAAAGCGATGTTTTCTTCTATTAACAAATATATAGCGAAATGATTACCTGTACATAAAAATTACAGCATATCCCTTTTCCAAAAAATATTCTGCGGATACAGATCCCCTTGTTCCTGCACTAAAATTATCTACAAATCGTACTGTGTTATGTTCCAAGGGCGTTGTTGTACCTCCACTCTACAACAATATATTTGAATCATATAACGTTGTATTGCAACATTAATATCACATATTATATTCTGCAACATAAAACTCACTGTTATCAAAACGGTTTCTTGATTTCTCTTCAATTGACATTCGATAAATTTTTTCAACAACGTTTCATTCTGCGCGAGATCCTGAGGTGGTGAATCTTTTCCATAAAAATCTTCCCACGATGAATTCATACTTGTAATGTGCAGTAATGTTAACAAAGTGGAACGGGTAACTGTTTCTTTTAAAATTTAATAGACTAAAAAAGTAATCACAGTTTTCCAACGAGCAATGGTTTTATCAAACAAAATACATCAAACGCATGGAATCTGGCAAAATTATAATAGCGTCGCATATAGATGAAATCATCTGACTTGCACGTTAACCATTCTTATCTTTCATATCATATATTTTCAGAAATTATCCGTACATACATACATGATGTGAATACTATGCGTATATATGATATAATGGTTAGATCTAAATTACAAGTGATACAAGCGCTCTCTTGTGACGCAATAAAAAATTTAAAGCACGCAATCGATAAAAATGTTCTGTTACGTTACCGAGATACGTAGATATTACATAGATGTATGGAGCAGGTAGAGAATCTGCTTCTTCTCTGATTGGTTAACGCTGCACAGCTAAACAATTCTAGATGAAGAGAGGAAGTAGCGAGTGAGCAAAAGAAAGTAAGAAAGTAAGCCAGAGAAATATATGGAAAAAGACAAAACACTAAAATACTAAAAAAAATTCAAATATTATTTACTCAAAGTGGGTGCCCCATTGGATCCCTCAATCGATGTTGATTACGTATAGCTTCTACCCTACCGAGCCGAGAGAAGCGAGCAGCAGAGCATACGACGGCAAAACGTCGTTCTTCAGAAATGTCTACAGAATCCTGGACAAAGAACTGTTTCTAAAAATACAAAAATATTGCGGGAAAACTACGTACGTTGGCATTTCTTTGAACTTTGACATTAATTTATAGCTATTTATGACCTAAAAAAACAATAAATTGTATGCCACTATATTCGGGAAACTCTCCTCTATCTTTTCAGATGGATTAGAACTTTCCAACGTTTTCACTTTTTATGCAATGCCTAATTTTTGTCAAAAATTTTGGGTGTTTACAGAAGCTCGTTTTTTTCGAAAACTGAGGGAGACGGAGGAATTCGATTTTCGGATTCTTGATCAGGGAGTGAAATTCTGTAAGAATTTCATAGTGATTATAGGAAATCAAAAATCGTGTCGGATAGTGTTATCAATAGCTAAAAATTATTATTCTTTAATTATTAGTAGTGAAAATTTCATTTCAATATCTCTAATGGTATAAAAGTTATAACAACTTGTCAATGAATTTTATGGCCTCAAATATAGTGCGTGTACAGAAAAGCCACGAGTTCAATGATGCAAAGATGAATCACGAGAAATAGTTGAATAGAATAGATGATCACGATAGATAGTGACGTACAGATGATTATGACATCAGGCTTCAAGTTCAGACCTTAGATATTATTGGATGCTACCTACTTATATTCACTAACAATCATCGCGTTGTGTGAACTTAATTTTTGCAGTGTTATTGCAAACACTGCAAAGAGATCAAAATAGTGGTGGGAACGTAATTTTCCACCAGTAAATGGTAATTTTCGTTAAAAATTTCGTTATATGGGTATTAATAACTTTTAACATTTTTTAAAACACTAGTGCGTGCGTGTTATTTCAAACACTGCAAAGAGATCAAAATAGTGGTGGGAACGTAATTTTCCACCAGTAAATGGTAATTTTCGTTAAAAATTTCGTTATATGGGTATTAATAACTTTTAACATTTTTTAAAACACTAGTGCGTGCGTGTTATTTCAAACACTGCAAAGAGATCAAAATAGTGGTGGGAACGTAATTTTCCACCAGTAAGTATTTCGTTATATGGGTATTAATTAAACATAATATCTCACATTTGATTAATTCAATTTGCTTTCTTAAATTTAAACATTTTCGCGTATTCATTAATGTCGAATATTAAAATAGTTCAACACGTTTGCAATATCGGTATATCACTCTTTCAAAATTGCAGATATCTCATACTATTAGGTCATTAAGTATGTAATGTACGATTATCTAAAGCATCAAGTTTGATATCCGATGTTTCCGATATTTCACTTCGATTGTCCTTTGTTTTTTTTTGCAGTGAGAAGGGATATACCATGTGGCTTTCAGACGTACTCTTTTGTTTTTAATAGTAGTCTATCATATTGTTGTCCGAGGGTTAAATATTGTAAGCCATGGATAAGTAAAAAATTCGCGTTATTTTCGCATATGAGTTCCGTCTTGGAACTAATGCAGCGCAGTTGAATCGAAATGGTGTGGCAAGGATGTGGCTAATGTACGTATTATTAATGGTTTGAAAAATTCCAATCTGGAAATTTTGATATCTAAAATGAACCACGCGGATGACCTGAGAGCAAGGCCCGAGATATAATAAACCAAACTTTCAGTGTCAAAATCGAACATTTCATACTTAATGACCTAATAGCATAGTTTATACATCGAGTTCACGGTGACGTCGTGTAGATCAGCGAGCCATATGTGGCTCTTTCTTCCTCTTACGTGCTCCGTAGCTCGTATGCATCTCGGATATCCTTCACACTCACACCAGTGTTGTAGGATTTGATTTTCTATCTCAGCACCATCGACGGTAGACTGATGAACTTTTGGTAACTTGGTACGAGTTCGTAGTTCGTAGACTAGTTCACAGACTTGAGTTAACCTCAGTGCATTATCTTCTTATGGGCAAAAATTCAGATCTGACAACACTGTACGATAGTGGCGACATTCAACGTTTATTAGTGGAAGTGAAAATTTATATAGAGACATCTTGCGGGAATATCTCTGTAAGCGGCAATCACCCGCAAAATTTAAATTTCGTTTAACTATGACAAACTTTTTTGATCCGAACGGAACTAAACCGAACTCAAGTATTGACTTTAACAAACAATTCTTAAAGGACACATCTTTAAGAATCATCTACACCAGGGGTGTCAAACTCAAAAGCTAACTTGGGCCATAATAATAAATAAATAATGCTTAACTTTAGGTGGGCCGCAAAAAAAAAATCAATGTTCATAGAAACAAATATTTTTATTTTGACTAGTACATTGTAATAAACATATTATAAAGTTAAATTATTGTTTACGTCCTGATACTTGACATCAAAAATGTTCATCTTGGGCCGCGAGTTTGACACCCCTGATCTACACAAATAATTATGATATTTCATATTTCATAATGCAAACCACTTTCGCTGGACGATTTAAATATATTCGTACGACCATACAAATTTACGCTATATTTGAGAATTTTTTTCCTTTATGTATTCTATGTCATAGTTTACTTAAGGAGATTCTTTTTAACTTCAGCATAATTAATATATCGAAGAATTACGAAGCTAGATGAAAACGGTTCTCATTAACCACGACTAAACTATAAAAACAATTAATTCCTTACTTAAGTTAATAACTAGTTTACAACTTCTTACTTACATTAAAAACAAAGAAGAATGTGCTGAATAAAAAAAAAATTTAACTTTAAAGCATTTTATCACATTTATCATAATCATTAAGTTATTGCATAGTTTTCAATAATCGAATTCAATTTAGTTTTCTACATGGATTAAAGGAAACACATTGAATGCAGTTAGCATTAATAAAACTTTATTTAATATCGATATACATTGGACATTACCTAATATATTTATAATCAATTATTTACAAGAGTCACTTTTTTCTCATAATTAATTAAAATAGGATTATTACAATAAACTATAAAGTGAATCAAACAACAATGAACCGGACATGAAGATTCCAATGGTTTATTTCGCGAAATCGCGTGCACATTGTGAGTCTGATGGCAAGAATTTACTTCCGGTTGAGCTGACTACGTTTTGTGCACTTTCGCGCGGGGATGCACTACACATGGGGGTAGGTTTTGACTTTACCTCTGACAGGCATGGCACTTGACGCTTTCACGCGCGTCTTATGGTGGTGCGCACAAGTTTCATTTCACGGAACACAGATCTATGCGTGTCGTATAAATTCTCTAAGCTGGACGCGCGTTAAGTTCACTTCGATACTGGGCGGTGTTGAAATTGTAGTTTTTATTAATTCTTCTCTCTATATAATGCAATAAGAAACTATTCCGTTTACTTCCGGTGATCGAATGGACCAACGTGAATCGGAGGTACTTGAAAACAATGCTGTTTAAGATGTAACTTTCTATCACAAACCAGTTCCTTCATCCTCCACGTTACTTGCAGTATAGCCGATATTATATGATTCTTTACACGTCACATAGTAGAAGTTTGCAGAATAAATGCAGATGTCGACAGTCATATTTTTCAGCAGTTTCTCGACTATTTTGCGTTCCTCTGAACATGAAATAAATTGTTTTGATTTTCCCTTGACAATAGATCATATCTTTAGATAGACATTCACAATCGCTAAAAATCATTGTCCCATCCAGATATATCGTCCGGTGGCGGTGGATCTGAATCTGGTGGGTATTCGTCAAAGTTTGTAGTGTCCGTGGCACCTTGGACACGTGGCATGATTGGTGGTTCGAGGGTCCGTGATCTTAGACCTTCCCAGTTAAAACCATCGAACCATCTAAACATGAAAATCAGTGTTAAAATATAACTCTTATAATATAATAACTATAAATTTATGGTAATTGCTAACAATAACTGAAATTTATTATAATCATATAACACTATAAACTAGAAACATTCACGAATTTTGCAAGTATATAATGTAAAGGCATACTTGTGTTTCTGTATTTCGCTAATGCCACCCTTTTGGTAACCAAGGCGCTCTGCTGGATTGTCCCTGTAAATATGTACATGTTTCATTCTATTCAGTTACCTTAGTTTAAAATAAATAAATCAATATAGGAAATATATTGAGGTTGGTGTATTAGAATGTAGATTAAAGTATGATTGTAAGATGTTTTGTAACGACGTAATAATGTAAATAATAAATAGAATTATATAATAAAAATTATAAATAATAGCATAGAAATAAAAGTACAATAAAAAGTTTAAAGTTTGTCACCAATCATTGAGCGTACTAAAACAAGCGAGTTTGAAATATCATTATGCAATAATATTTTATATTCATGATACTTTTTAACTCATAGTTTCTTTGTATGTGTTTACTGATCACTATGAATATGATAAATGCATGTGTATAAATAAATATGTACATTACGAATGCACCATCATCATAAGTTAAAATTATGAACAATATTAAGTAGCACTTACAGAAGCTATCTCTCTTAGTATTGTTATACAAATTGAACAAAATAGATTCTAGCGTTTACCTGCAAAGCTTTTTAATCAATGCTGTTGCATTTCGTGTAATCGACCTCGGGAATTCGATGGCGTCAATTCCTTTTAGAATAATGTTATAAGTTTTCATAGGGTCGCCGCCAGTGAATGGTGGTGTACCCGTAAGAAGTTCAAACATTAAAACACCAAGGGACCAATAGTCAGCGCTGATGTCGTGTCCTTTGTTTAAAATCACTTCAGGTGCAACATATTCAGGTGTGCCGCAGAAAGTCCATGTCTTCCTTCCGTGATCCAAACGCTTGGCGAAGCCGAAGTCGACAAGTTTAACGTATCTGAAAAGGTAATTTGCTAATTACATTCACATTTATTCTAATATTTAAAGAGGAAAATAGACAAATTCAATGTATTGTCGAAACAATCTAATTATCTCTTGTAATTTCCATATCGTTTTTGTTGACTTTAGCTTTATATGTTGGCTTCGAATTACATATATGTTATAACTATACTACAGATCTTTATGCAAAATAGAAATTGTCTGCGTCAATTGCAAGACATAGGAGCTAAGTGAAAGTTCTCTTCTTTAATCATTTTAACAAGTTTAAATGAACACATCCACATTCTTTGTTTCTTTTAATCTATAATCTACAAATCTTATTATGGTTCCGTACACATAACTTTTTGTATAACGTCGAATATAATCTTTCATGTGATATTTTATATATGTAATATATACTCGACTTGTTACACTGGCTTTTCTCCAAAACGTTCTTGGCCCACTTTTCATGCAAAATTCGCTAAAACGCCGACAAAAATTCTTACAACAATTTCTTCAAGATCATTGTAAAGAGGAGACTTCCCTCTATAAAGTCGTCTCAAAACAAATTCAGCCTGCCACTCCTTTTTTGCAACAAAAATGGAAGTTACAGCAGTTTATTCATCCCGCATTTTTCGATATTTTCGTGTGATCCTCTTAATTTATTGGTTTCGTTCGCTGCTACACAGAGATAACAATCTTATTTCGTCCGACCTTACCCTTGGCTATCAAGAAGAAGATTCTCCGGTTTGAGATCTCTGTAGATGATGTTCCGAGAATGGAGATAATCAAAAGCCTCGACAACGCAGGCAGTGTAAAACCGCGTTGTCCCGTCGTCGAAGTGTCCTTTGTCCCTAAGCACCGTCCACAGTTCGCCGCCGAGACAGGCCTCCATCAGCATGTAAAGGTACTTCCTGTCCTTGAAGGTTTTGAACAGCTTCACTATGAAGTCGCAATCGGCTTCGCCCATGATCCTCTTCTCGGACATAATGTGCTGCTGCTGTCTCGTCTCGACGATCTGAGCCTTCTTCATCTGCTTCAGGGCGAAAGATCTCGAGCTGTCGCCAGATATTTGAACTAATTCGACTCTTCCGAAACCACCCACGCCAAGGGTGGCCAATGGCCGAAGATCTTGCAGCCTCAGTTCTCTGAATTCCTCGTTCAATCTGCGTTCAAACATTATCTTCATGATGAGTCGGCTCATTTTGAATTCGAAACTTTATATTCTAACGAAAATGACGGCATTTAGGTATCGAAATGGAAGGCGAAGCTCGGTCGATGAAGTCAGTTTTTCGATCATTTTAACGCTGGTATCGTTACTTCGTGTTCCGAAAAGCTTTCTTTCTATGTACACGAAGCGTAAATCTAAGAAAGTATCTTCGAGAGCATTGAAATTGAAAAGACAAGTGACAATGGGGCAATTATAGTTGGTAAATGAAGAATTTATTTAGTTTAGGTTTTCAAGGATATTTTCAGACTCCTCGAGACACGGAGTAAAAAGTGAACGCAACAAGAAGAAATGAAATAGAAGTAACGGTTCGGAAAAGTTCGAGATCAAGCCGACATTTTGCTCGTCGAAATGAAATATCTGACAAGATTGACGCGATGCGAACCGTTCGATGCGCAAATTTCGACGAGCACAACGCCATTTAATAAACGTTATTGTTTCTCGAACGAAAACAAATGAATGTTTGATGAAAAATTAATATTCGGTGAGAAATCGAAAACTGACGGAACAAAGAGAGTTTGAATTTCTGGATTCGTATGAAAATCACATCTGGTTCCATCAATGCCGCCATCGTGCGCTGCGATTTAATAATGCTCGGAAGGATTTCCTCTGGCATCTTCTTCTCTTTCCCAAGAGTTCACCTCATTGCGAGGACCCGGCAATTAATGCAAATTGCCGGCACGTTTTAGAAAAAGCGAAACGTTAACTTAATTGCCGAACCATAACTTACACTGAGATCGTGTGCGCCTCTATTCTTCCATCCTAGTGGCAAGCGTGAAACACAACGCACAGAGACGGGGAGTTTAACGAACGATTCACGCGCGATTACAGTCGCGTATAATTAGCAGTAACGAGAGCTAACGTGATTAATAACAACGACGCTGTTACCAACGCGATAGCGTTACCATTCGCGAATTAAGCAGGCGCTCACCTTCTTCCTGCCGCCAGCTCGTCTCTGTACCGCGTACGGATCTCGTCCAGGGACGAAATCAGCTGATTAAACGTTTCACGGTCTATCACCAGGCAGCTCACACCTTCCGGATCATCGGCGATGATGTTCGCCGTCCTCAGATCGTCTCTGCGAACACGTTAGATACATCCCTTTTTATAGAAACTTCTGCGCATAGTGAGCTAGAAATCCGTTGGTCGCGTTCGCGAAATTTAATTCTAAGGCTTTATTATCCGAAAATATTTATTAACAACCTTTTCAAGATTCAAAATTCGAGATACATATATGTATTGTGTGAAAGTAGTGCCCGTATATTCTGATCCTAAAATCCCGCGGTGCATGTATTGAAACAATTTTTTGTATGTGATATTATATATGATATTAAATTAGAAATCTTTTATTATAATGAAATTTTATATTAAAAATTTATCTTAAACGACCACTTTGTATATTAAAAGATTATCTTAATTTATCTTGTATACTAAAAATTGTATATTAATTGTATATTAATAATATACATATAATAATATAATATACATATAATAATTGTATATTAATTGTATATTAATAACTTTGTATATTAAAAATTTATTTTAATCGATCACTTTTTACGTTAAGAATTTATACTAATTGATCACTTTTTATATTAAAAATGTATTTTTCTTAAGTGTGCTTGTTATGGGGAGTTATGGAAGATTGTATTCATGAATTGTTTTAATTCTACGACATTAACAAAGTTATTACATACAAGCTCACGTTAATAATATATATATGTTAAATAATGTGTATACAATATGTGTATACGTGTGTCTTGTTCGCACACTTAAGTGTACATAATTCTACTTAAATAAATGTATCTTCTTAATCCTATCCTTGAACATGCATATTATCCGACTTAAATTTATGTTGCAACGCTTCCCATTCATCCAGAATAATTTCAGTGCAACATTTCTAGCTTTAAACTAGACACCAAAGGGTATTTTACTAAATTTTTACAAAGTTTGTAAAGATAGTTTGTCATATTATTTCCAGCTTTGAACTATATAGCGAAGAGTATTTTAATACATTTTGACAAGATTTTTAGACAAATCCGAATGCAATGTTTCATAGTCCGAGGAAACATAACGCTATCACAGGGTTCATTTCTAATTACTCATAATTCTATCCTCCGTTTCTTAAGACTCCCGCATCCTGTTCCAGCAATAAATGTTCGACGGTTCACCCTTTCTATTCTGCCAATTAACTCCTTTACACTGCTGCCCTTTTGTTCTCATCGCGTTTATTTCCATTTCAAGCATTGAGGTAAGTCTACATTTCTTTTAACTTCCCACTCCCGACTCCGTTTTTATCTCAATCTTCATTTTTCTCCCCGACGATTCTTCTAATTATATTTTTTTCTTTAATACGTGCAATATCTCTTAACGTTTTATTATCCTCTTCCGTGCACGCGGAATTGTAATAATCTTGACGCAACATGTACCGTGAGTTCGCTCTTAATTAACCCTTACAATGTTCAGAAGCTCGTAATACAACAGGACCTCGGTTATCCGAATGAATTAGAAGAACGTGAACGTTCGGATAATAGAACCGTTGCTTGGATAAAGTGGTAGGCTAAATCATTACTGATATTTATAGTAAATGGCATTGTATGCGGAGCGTCTTAAAATTCGATTGAGTTGTTTCTATCTGGAACAGGATCGGACAATAGCAAATCCAGGTATTAGAAGTTTGGACAATCGAGGTTTTACTGTAATTAGGTCTCATAGTCTCAGTGTATGTCAAATGTAAATCAACTTCTAATTATGATATTAGTAATAATTTGTAATAATGCAAATTTCTTGTATAAAATAAGATGTAACAGCACAGAGCTGAAGAACCATTTAGAACCCTAATTACTCGAAAAAGAAAGAATACAGTTTAGCTATTTGTCAACAAGAATATACAAGTTGTATAGTAACTGAAAAACTATTATTTTAATTACAATAAATTCTCGTTTTTCTAACTTATTTTACAAAAATTAAAATAAGAAATTTATTTTTTCCAATTTGAAGACTCATCGACAAAAATACTAAAAATTGTACGCACACACATTTTGTTTAATTTTATTTAATCATCATATTACATAAATATATAAATCTAATCAATAATATACATATAAATCTATAAATCTACAAATCTACGAATCTTCAAATCTACAAATCTACAAATCTATAAATCTATAAATCTAAATAAATCAAATATTTCAAATCTGACCTAGTCTACTGCATATTTTAGCGCAGAAGACTTTCTGTTTATTTAATTGATTCAAGAAGTACCATA